GCCAAGTAAAATAAAAATATAAGAATCTTATCATATAGAGAAGTGAGAAAACATCTTAACTCTAAAAAAATAAAATGAGAAAAATGGGAAAATGTTGGACCAATGACCAAACTCAAGAAGCAAATTTAAGCGATGATTTTTTTAAATTCTTATCATTTTCGTTACACCGAGTAGAGCTAGAGCACCAGCTATAAAAAATTCCTTCTCATGGAGAATATCTTGACAATTCAGACACTTTACAATTTTAGAAATCATCCATTTGCCACACGTGTCTCTCATATTAAATGAATATGCCTGATGAAGCGATCCGTAGTTGACTTTGGTAAAAGACGACAATTCCTGTTGTGGCCTTTTGATTTTACTAAAACATCCAGGTTGACGCAATCCATGAGAAATTCTTCTTTGTTTGGGACGAGAACGGAATGAGCTTGAGTCCGTCAAATCGGAAATCATCAAAGCTGGAACTAATTCATTTAAAAGGTTCAAGTCTTCTTGATTTTGTGTTAAGGTGAAGTTTTAGTAAGGTGTAGTTTCAGTTGTGCCATAACAACATTATCGTAGGCGATTCAGCAAAACCCAGTTACTACTGATATGTGTCTTTATCCAATAAGACAACTACTCCTAATAAAGATCTACTGAGAGTACATAAACATACACATTACAAAAATAAGTAAAGTAGCTAATTGTAAAGGCGATAATAAGTTTTTATCATCGGTAATTCCATTAAGTAATATGAGACAATATTATTTTGCCTCTAAAACAAATCTGCTTCTTGGCCCACAGGCACCTCCGGCTGTCGCATAGAGGCAACGCTTCGCAGCTTTATGAATACAATGCGGTTCCAAATTCCGTCAGGAATGACAATGAAACACAGCTGAAGCAAAATTGCAGTCCAACCTGGATGAAGGAGCCTTTTGAAGGCTAAAATCGGCAAAATTCAATGACTTCGTGAAGTTTGCCATTTCATTGTACAAAATACTAGTAGTCCATAAATCAACATAAGCAAACTAGGGCAACTAAAGTTCATCTGCAGGATATAATGGCAGTATAAAAATATTCAAGCGAAATGCCCTAACCGTGTTAGCCAAAGTAGCAAAAAGCTCTGAGGCTGTTTATTTAAAAAAATGTAGAGCCAGTCTCAATATGAAATCAGAATTAAATGATAAATGATTAGGATAAGGAAATACAAATGAAACAAAAGATTTAAAAAATCAGAGCCGAGATACTTTACAAAAACCAAACCAAACCAAAGAAGAATGAATGTGTTTAATAGACAGAAGCAAAAAGTGCAATACTAACACCGAAATTTCTTAGTGGTGGGGCTAGTAATCGTAAACAGGACATTAAAGACGTTAATAATGTGAAGGTTTCGATTCTATCAGTACATCTTAAATGACAAATATAGCCAATCTAGGTCGCATACGAAGATGAACAGTAGATAGTTGTTGGAAGAATTAACTATACGTCATTCATAACATTAGAGTGGCTTAAGCACTTATTCAAGGCTTGAGGTAAATGCAAGATCAGTATCAGAAGGTAATTATACGCGGAAAATTGAGTATGTATGAATACGAACCTGAATAAGAAAGTTTGATTCTAAGTGGGTCCCCTTAGCTGTTTTGCCTTTTATACATGCGTTGAGAAATGACATGAGCAGACCTAGAAAGTTGCTTAAATATAGGAAGCTAATCATTTCAGTATATTGTCATCACAAGTTAAGAATCTAATGAATCTGCATAAATAACTTGTAATGATTATGGAAATACATGGCATATCGTATAGCGCCAAAGAACCTGATCTCAAGTATAGTAAAGGTGGATTGAAAAGAAATACAAAATTTGCATTGCAAATATATAATTTAATCAATGAATCTTAGGTTACAGACTGTCTCAAACTCGCATGATTCTAGTGGGAACCTCCAACAGGAGTGTAATTTCAAGTGGATCTCATGCCAAACTTCGAAGTAAAAATAAGCCTTGAATTAAGTATCATTAATTATGGCTCAATATGGCAATGATCAAACAAGTAAATTCATAGATACGAAGATCAAGATGCCATGGCCTCTAGTTTGGTCGCAATCTCCTTTCGATGTATAGATGTGATCTAACCTCGTTTTCATAAGTTGGTCGTGTTGTCAGGGTAACCTAGTTTGATGCATCTTATCCGAGGTCCTATATTATAGTAGTTATGATTATTCCCATGGTTGGACTATAGACTTGGTACATTCCCAGACGTTTCATCGGCATCGTTGGTCTTGCCATTCTCAGCAATAAGCTACAACGCATCGGAGACAAGTGAAATATATCCCTCGACCAAATTCATGAGTCGAGACCGAATAAGTAACAAAAGCTGCTAAACCATACCTACGCTTTTCTGAAGTAGTCTACAAATTAAGGAGCATATTTAGTGCAAGGGAAACATTTCAGAAGTCCGGAGACGGATAGTAATGTAATAGCAATGACCTCCATCCTCTTCATCCTTCCTTCGCATTTCAATAACATTATTTTTATTATGATCTAGTCCACGGATACGAATTCCTGATTTCCCTGTCCTAGTGAAAAGAAAGAATTTGCGGCAAAAAAGAATCCTGCTGTTGCAGACTATGTCAGTGTGTATCTAAAATATCGATAGATGAATAGATCGATCCGAAAAAGGTGATGGTGGCAGTTGTAGTAGACTTAGAGGCTTGAACGTCGATAGTTTTGCAGCATATAGAGAAGTTACCATGGCAGATGGAGTCACGACGCACAGGAACCTGAGGCGAAAATCGACGAAGTGGCAGGCCGAAAGAATTACGTTGCTGGTCCGGCTAAATAAAAAAAAGAAAAAAGGATAGAATATCTTAATGAACTCAGATTAAAGTAATTGCAGGTTAACAAAATGATATCTTAAGTGATAAGGAAATTGTTTTAGCATGAAGATATTGTCAATAACGCTCAGATCCTTATCAAGTGTTAAGCTTTGCATGTAATATAAATTGATATCGCTTGGATTAGCAACTAAATTTAACTAATAATATAAATTTTACATGTTTCCTTGGGTGATTGAGCCTAAACAAATGCTTACGGATAAACAGAACTGGAACATGACAAAATTTAATACAATAGACAAAACACGCCGATATCTTGCAATAAATCGAAATAAAGTTTAACTTATCAAAATAACAAAACCCTCGAAAGTAAAATATAAAAAAATCATTACCCCTATTATTGTTGTGATCTCCATTCGCTGCATAG